TGAGTAATTAATATTTGTTTGTATAGGGTAAGGCAAACATTCAATGTGTAGTTTTAAGTCTTAATCAATCTCATCATAGTTTTTCTTCTTCTCATGGTTATGTGGTCATACCACACATAAGCTAATAAGATTGACAACCTTGATCCCAAGAACAACTCATTCAAAAACATATTCTCATAAAAGAAAGTGATTGTATATATATTCCCTATTATTAATTAGTGATTAAAGAAACTATACATGTTCTTTATTTCTTTGATCTAGTTTAATTTAATTTTAATTCCCTTTACAATGTCCACAACAACCAAAAGAGAGCATCGATTGTGGTTATTGCATGATAAAGTTCATGAAGGATATAGTCATACACGATCCCCCAATTCCTAACAAGACATATATGTGTATACTAATATATATTTACTTTAAAGATATGGCTTTTAAACTAAATTATTTGAGTGTTTTTCATGCGTAGTACTTTGAGGATGCATATTGTCAAGAATGATAACACTCTCAAATAGAAGAAATCCTCGAAGATTTGGCTACTACAATTCTCCATCAATGGTTGAGTAGAATATAACACTATATGTCACATCCTACCGGATTTAATATTGATAGAAGGGATAAAAATTTAAGCCAATGACCAATATGGAAGGTAGATTGGCTGACCAAGCCAGGCATGACATAAGATCTAAATAAGGTTTCAACTGCCATTTTTTAAATTATCGATCCAAGAAGAGCAAAATGGGAAAATTTGAGAAAAAATCTACAAAATTCCCTAAAAATAGAAAATTAGTGAATTGGAGGCTTTGAAACCTCAGTGGAGGCCCTAGAGGTTAAAGTGGTGTTAAAATAAATTATTATGAAATTTCCCGAACATGGAGGTTTTTAGGAAAGTAGTGGAAAATTGAAGGAAAACAATTATTTTAAATAGCTAGAGGCCTCAATAATTCTAGAAAAGATATGGATTAATTATCTAAATATTTAAGGATAATTTATAAAATTATTTTCAGGCTTTGAAAGCATAGGAATTTATTTTAGGAAATTTATTCTCCTACAGTTTTACCGATAATAGCCTAATTGGGAAAAATTCAAAATAAATAGTTAGAGGTGGAAAAAAATTCTAAAATTTTTTAGATCATGTCCTTATATTAAAATGGGATTTTTCATGGAGAGAAATAAATTTTTAGGGGTCTAGAAAAATTATAAAACATTACTAGTGAATAGTAACCAATAAAGTTTCAAAATGGTTTAGGATTGTGATTTGGTTTGTGGGCCACCCTAAAAATTTTTTGGGCCCCACATTGAGCCCAAATAAGGCCTAATTTTGAACAAATTTTGGACCCTTCCATTTAATTGGATTTAAGCCCAATTTCAGTGAAAATAACAATAGGAAAGTTCTGGAGACTGGACACTTGTCATGGTCTAAAAATTGGGGCATTGGATGGCAATCACATGGCCATTTTGCTAGGCAAATTTCATTCATAATGAAGGGGGGAGGTCAGATTTATTTTACCTATAAATACCCAAAAAAAGGTAGAAAATTGCTAAAACAAGGGGAGGTGCTGCCCATTTTGTTTCTTAAGCTAGAGACTGAATTTGATAAGGGTTTTGAATGAGAAATGATCAAGCTTCAGTCAAGGATTCACCAAGGTATGTTTAAGCTTTACTATGGTTGAGATTAAAGCTTGTTTGGTTAGGATTTTGAATTTAAATTCCAAGGGAGAGATGCTGTAATTTTTGTTCAGCATGCTTATGCTTTAGGGAAGGATAGAAACTGTAAATATGATGTGGAATAAGCATGTTTTAAAGGTGTTTGGATTGAATTTTGGAAGAAAACCAAGTTAAGGTCCTTAATGGTTCAATGCGGCAACTATGCTATCTTTAGGTAGGAGTTTGTTTTGATGTGTTTTGACGATTCCAATGAGTTCAAAAGGTGTTTTTGCATAGAGAAACACCAATAAAAAGTGTTTGAAATCATTGAAATCAAAAATAGAATTTTTAGAACATATACTACCCTATTCAGCCAAACTTAAATAACAGGAAAGGAGTTTGATTTTCATAGATCTAAATTGATATTTGGATTCTACATAAAAAATTGTGTAGGAATGGACCAAGAGATTAATAGAAACAAAGAGGGAATAATTATGTCAAAAATCAAGGAAAAGAGGTTTAATTGAGTTTAATGTCAAGCATTAGTGTTTGTGCTTGAATTATTGATGAGTTGGGATATGTTTATGCATGAATTGATAGGCATTGTGCAAGAGAACAAGAAGGAACCCAAAGGAATTGAAGAGGCCGAATTGGTTCAAGTATAAAAGAGGTAGCTTTGAATCTAATTTGATTGTTTTTCTTGCTTACTTAATGTGTACATGTTGCTTGTTTTTCTATGAATTGATTGACTTATGCTATGGTATGGAATGCTTTTTGATATTTGATATGCTTTGGTCAAATGCACACTGATATGAAATGTGAATATGTACTAATTTCCTTAATCGAATAATGTGCTATTCATGGTATTGGAATTGGTTATTATGCATTGTAACATGTCATATTTTGTGGAGCTTGATTAACATGATAATTATGATTCATTGCTACTGAGATTTCTATGAAATCCCACTCCCCTCAATATATAAACAGTAATAGGAATCCTAGGTGGTGTCACTAAGGATAAGGAGAAAGGAAAAGGATTCACTTGGAGGATAAGTGAGTTTATGGTTATTGAAATAATGTTTTGTAATTATATACGTTGTTATGTATATGTATGGATTTATACTGAATTCTTGTATCAATGATAAGTGTTAGTGGCAGTCTCACCCAAGAGGGGGGTGAATTGGGTGAGTTATAAAAATTTGCAAAATTAAAACTAAGAACTATCAAAAACAGAGAGTGTGAGTTTAGAATGATTTCACTGTAGAGAGGAAGACACAAGATTTATACTGGTTCGGTCTCAACCACTTGACCTACGTCTAGTCCTCAGAACACCTCTGAGTATTTCACTATGTTCCAAGATTGATCGGGCTCTTGGCACCTTAGTACCGTAATTGAAACTCTCAATCACTCCCCCTTACTTCCCGTAAGGTTACAGACCCACTCAAGAGTCCACACCCTTGAGTATCACACGAACGTGATTAATGAATAGTAAGTAAACTCTCTTACAGAGTGAATAAATGATAATCACTGACGCTCGGTGTTATGGAAGAACGGAGTATTGAATGCAACAGTAAAAATCAACAGAGGATAGCTCGCATATTCCATCTGTTCGTTTAATGCTTTTTTGCGCCTTTTATAGTTGAGGTCATTTAGTAACCATTAGATGGAAGAGCTTCTAGCCATTGAGAGTCTGGTTGCGTGTTTTTTCCAGTTGCAACGGTTTCCGCCATTAATGCTTCTGACAAGGTAGGTTACAGGCTACTTGGACAACCGTTGGAGAGCCATTGGGATTTTCTTCGTAATCTGCAAAAATATATTAATTCAATAAGGTTATTCCTGTAGAATAAGAACAAAAGTAGAACTGAAAAAATCATAAAATGAATATTCATAGTTTATGGTTAGAATCAATCAGTTGTTAAATGCGCTGGGTAATAACTGAACGTGATTGATCGAAGTGATGTTCGATTATAACTTGATCGATCAAGTTATCGATTATTCTAAGTGAAAGCTTTTGAAATAGATAAGTAAGATTATCGATCAAGTGATGGATCAATGGCTTATCGATCAGGTGATCGATAAAAGGAAATAGTGACATCATACTGTGATGCATAGAAAAGGAAGATCAAGGTCACTTTTAAATTTTGAAACTCTTTAAAATAGTGAGTTAAGACCTTTATGAAGGCTGAGAAAAGCTTGAATGAAATAGATGATAAATCTTGGGAAACATCGAGACTAGTTAAAGTTTAAATTGAAATCGCCTCATGATCGAATAAGTGATTGAACATTTGTTGATCGATCAGGTTATCGATAAATAGAGTGTTATAGAAATAACTTTTGAATCATTAATTTTCAAACACTTTATCGATAAATAGATGATGGATAACCTTATCGATAAATAATAAGTAAAAGTATATTTAGTGAAAACATAGGCTATGTAAGTTGATCGAATACATGATCGATAAAAGGTTGATCGATAATGTTATCAATAAAGAGATTTATCCTTGTAAAATCAAAGAGATGATTTATCAATCATGTTATGTGAAAACAAGATAAACATGAAGTGTGTTTATCGATAATATTATCAATAATCTAATTATCGATCCGATGATCAAAGAGCCACAATCTAACAAAGATATGCTAATTATCGATCAAGTGATCGATAGTTTTTTGATCAATCAGGTGATTGATAAGCCACTGAAATAATTACTTAGACGCAAAGTTATGAGGCAATGTTCGATCATATTATCGATAAATGGCTTATCGATAATGTGATCGATAAATGGTGACAAAAGCAAAACATAGAATGAGTAAAGCGCATTACCATTTATCTGTCTTCTCATTGATAATCGGTTTATCAATCATGTGATCGATAAATACCTATCAAATTTATATCCTAATATTCAATTATCCTGATTATCGATCAAGTGATCAATAATTTATTCCAGATTTTCATATACGACTAAGTTAAGAATGATCGATCAACACATTATCTAACATGTTATCGATCAAAGTTTCTGATGAGTTTACTTAATTAAACATAGATATTATCTATCAGCTTATCGATAAAACCTTGATCAATTAGATGATCGATCAACATACTGAAACACAAAACTCACTTTGTTATCATCAAAACCTTAATCCTAACATTCTCCCCCTTTTTGATGGTGACAAAACATAGATAAGAAATATTAATCAAGTAACATTAGAAACAATAAAATTAAAACAGTAGGCAGATCAAAGTGAGAAATATACTTTACTGAAGGCATAAACTGTCACAATACATGAGTAAAACTCAGAACACACAACAATAAGGAGCTAAACATCAAAAAAATAAAAAAATCAAAGAAAAAGAGACTCTAAGCATCAGATTCCTTCTCCTCCTTTTTGTGAGCATCAGGTGAGGAAGGGGAAGGAGTAGAAACAGTAGGAATGGAGAGGGGAATAGGAAGAGGGGGAAGGTGAGAAAGTGGAGAGAATGGTGGAATATGAAGAGGAGGAACTGGCTGGGAAATAGTGATCAGGGCCAAAGTAGGAGAGGGGGTGGGAGAGGTAGGTGGTACGGGTGGTGAAGTGGAAATAGGAGAAGTGGGTATAGGGGAGGTAGAAGGTCCAGGCTCATGATAAGGAGGAGATGGGGGACGATGGAGTAAGTCCTCAAAGCTAAAAGTAGTACTGGGGGTAGAGAAGTTGTTGCAGAGAGAGGCTACCATCCCTTTGATCTCTCGAATCTCTCTGTCAACATAATCAAATCTCTGAGAAACCTCCTTTTCCAAAGCCATCATTGCTTGTTAGTGAAGGTCTAGGATTTTGGAAATGCCGTCAAATTTTCTATCTGAGACTTCCCCATATTCTCGAGTAGTGACATAAACTCTCTTCTCAAACTCTTGAAGTTCGGCTTGAAACATCTCCCTGAGAGATCTCTCCATGAATGAGGGTCCAGGGGTATGAGAAGGAGCTGTAGTGGATTAGGCCTCATCCTGAGTCTTAGAGGTGCTGATAGCTGGTTGCTTCCCTTTGTCCTTCTGAGGTACCTTTTGTGAGGGTCTAAAAGGTAGAGGGATCCTTATCTTGTGCAGTTGTGTAATCCCAAAGGCAGGAACCTTTGTCTTGGACTCTCCAGGCTCAAAAGGGCAATGTTATTTGCCAGTAGGATGTATGTGGCCAACTGAGGGTAGGGGATCGGTGTAGACTTGGATTTGTTAAGAACAAAATCTTTCATCTTATTATAGATCAAAGCCCCTATATTAATCCTTTCTCCACTGATTATCCAAGCTAGTAGCAAATAATCATCTTGAGTTAAGTGTGAAAAGCTCCTGGATTTGTTGATCATACTTCTTGAGTAGATATAGTGGATTATTCTATAATAATCACACATTTGTTTAGGTGGGAAATTTAGCTCTCCGGGGTACTCATTAGTTTGCATCAAAATCTTGTAAGCCTTAATTTCATTCATATATCCCCCTCTCACTGAATCTTGAGTTCCTAGCAACTCATTAATCTTAGCATCAGTGAGGTGGAAGGTTCTACCTCTAAGTTTGACCCTTAAATAGTCATTTACTAGATTGTCTTGCTCATCATATTCTTCTACTGATTCCATATTACAGTAGAATCTTTTAATCACTTCAGGATAAAATTCTCCACCAATTATCAGCTAGTTTGAATCACTAGTGCAAAATACCAATTTAGCTTCTACTTTTGGTGTCAGTTATTGAGGAAACAGAAGTTGTATGTTGTTTCAACACTTTTCGCTTCTGACCTGCTTAGACCTGATGCCATAAACTTACATATGACTTCCATTCAATTTTGAACAGACTCCATAAATATACCAAATAATTTTAAATTATATTTCATTTCATATAAGAGCATTAGGACATCTTCTTCTATAAGGTATAAAGGCATTATTACATACTATGGTTTCATTTTTATTTAATTAATTCCATTAAAATTTTAATTATTTAAATAGAAATAATATATTTTTAAATTCTTTTTATTTTTCACTAACTGAATGGTTTTTAATGAGAAATTTTCTTTTAAATGATTTTATACAATTAAAAACTTGATTTATTTCAAACTTAGATTAAGAAATTATCTATTTATATTAGGTACAATATCTAGTATATATCTAACCAGATGCTGGGTGCCAATTTTTTTTTTTAATACAAGCTGTAATGTAAGTTTTTTAAAGGCCTATTGCATCTGGCCCATTACCAGCAGCCAAATGGTGCATATGGCTTTAGTCCCATTTCGGGCCTGAAGCCATAACACGTTGAAGAACTTAAAAAAAAAATTCCCCACTTCCCTCCATATTTTCATCAGCGCGCCTTCCAGTCTCCCGTATACAGTCATCAGCTCTGGGTTCTTCTTGCCCCGTTCCTCCATGTCTGTCTTCGTTGGTGGTCGAGTGGGCCTCGCCGAAGTTTAATCAGTGTCCCGTGGGTCTCAAGCTGATCGTTTCCCCCCTTCCCTCCATATTTCATCAGCGTGCCTTCCCGTCTTCAGTATATGGTCATCAGCTCTGGGTTCTTCTTGCCCCATTCCTCCATATTCGTCTTCGTGGGTGGTCAAGTGGATCTGGCCGAAAGTTTAATCAGTGTACTGTGGGTCTCGAGCTGATCGTCTTGCCTTCCTTTTGTTCTATCTTTGAATTGGTTCCGGGTCTCGCCTTCTTCATTCTGTCTTCAAGGTGGCAGTTGGGGCTGGTGTTCTTCTTCTTCACGTTGGGTTCGAACAGGTTCAGGGGTCTCATCTTCCTCTTTATCTATCTTTGGGTGGCACTTGGAATCTTCCTTCATCGACATTTGGGTATCACCGAAGCTGCTCTGTTCTTTCCTCCTCACCATCATCGATGATGCCTTAGGTCTTGCATATCTCAGTGCCGTGCGTTGACAGTAATTTGTTTGAAGCTTAGGTTCTAGTGAGTATTTTAGTTTTGCTGATCATTTTGGATTGTTACTGAAACTGAAAAATTGTTTAATCTGTTGAAGAATTGTGTGATTGTCGTATACTCTGTTCGTTCGGTTTTTTTTTTTAAATTGTTGCTATGGGATTTTCCACTAGCCTCCTGTTTATTGTACATAGAATGCTAGTTTGGCAGCTGTAAATGAGATGAGAAGTTATTTGGTTGAATGGGTTTTACTTGCTAACGTGATGACCAATCCTTACCGTGATTTAGGAGTCCAAATTTTTGTTGTGCACGAAGGGATGCTGTCAAGAATGTGAATGTCTTTTTTTGTATTAAATGTCACTATGTTATGTGAAAATTACATTCTGATCAAACTAGGAAAATGGAGCAGTGGTCATTGAACGAATTCATTTGATAGAAACACAAACCAATAAAAGTAAAGGAATGAGGTTGCGTGATTGATCTGTTGCTGAACCAATACCAGTCAATTTAGCCGTGAACCTATCAAAAATTAGTTCTTATGCTTTTGGCACCAATTAGTTTAACAAGTAAGACTTTTGCTGAAATCATATGTGCGGCATGTGAACGCACCAGGTTTTTCCCCTGAAAACTAGTTCTAAATTCTCTTGTTGAAATATTTGTTTGTTGCAATCTGTTTCTATTGCTGAACTCTGGGTTTTCAAATGTAACAGTTTTCTTGAAATCTTATTTTGTTTATGCGGCGAGCAATAGTTTTTCAAATGTAATAGGTTTTGTTTTTTCTCCTGAAATCTTGTTCTGAAATTTCAGTTATGTTTTTACCACAGAAATCTTCTAATGGTTTTTTCTAAAAAGGCAAGTTTACATATTTATGTCATTGTGTTTTTCCAAATGCTTAATCCTGTACAAATATGGCTTTTTTATGATGATTTAGACCTAACAACAAACATAAAATGAAAGGAAGTCATAATGGAAGATGAATGCTTTAGAGAGCCAATGAATAAGATACGAGAGAAGAGAGAGATAAAATGAATGTGGAAGAATAAAATATTCAACCGTGTGCGATTATTTTATTTATTCTTTTGGGTTAAATTAATATTTTCTATTGTCATATAGTTTATTCAATTTTTAGATCCTAATGTTCAGAAAGTTTAGATTAGTTCTTGTTATTAAACTTATGAGCTGTTAAATTTTATTAACATGACTTATCTTAGTTAATATATCATACTTGAGGACTAAATATGTTTGATTTGATTTAATTTATTATATATGTCAAAAAGGGACAAAAATAAATGATAATGTGAAATAGAATTGATGCATATGCATAATACTTGATGTAATATACACAAAATTACTTTGGTTACAAGTAAATAATGCATTTTTTTATAATATATAATTTCTCATATTAATAAAATTTTAATCATTCTTTGACTAAAGTTTTTTTTGATGATATTTGATAATTGTCACTTTTTTTCTAGAGTTGGTATTGATGAGTATTATTGAGATTATATTTGTTAGAATATCATATTGACTCTGAAAACTTGCCCTGTTGTTTCATTTGGTATCATATTGCTTTGAAGTTGAATCAGAACTTATAGAGTTTGAATGAAGTTAGAATTTGTAATGTATAGCTTTTAAGTTGAATTAAATTTGATCAGAGTTGATAAAAGTCACATTGCTCTGGAGTTAGTGTAAATGAGAAATATCATTGAGATTTACTGGAATATATGTTTGATTAGGAGATAACAAGGTTAAATTGAGGGTTTAATGTATAGGAGACGTTATTTTTTAAGCTGTCATGCTGCTGGGTTTTTGATTGATTAGGAAGTCTACCAATCAAAGGATTCTTTTGATTCAAATCCTCAACATGCTATTGAACGTAGTGCCAAACCAAAGCGAGATAGCTTGAACCAGCTAGCTTTAGCTTTTATTGATATGGACAATACTGTTCAACTAAATATGAGTAGAGAGATTGTGGGCGAGCTATTGAATTAACAATCTTCAAGAGAGATGTTGCTGAATTTCTTGCTTTTGATTTGCTAAACATATCAATAATTCAATTTTGTCTCATGTAAGTATGAATTTTATTTTAACTTTACATATATGTTGTTTTTAATTTTCTTACTAACTTATTTTTCATTCTTATAGGTATCTCCACAATCTTTGCAAAGAATTGGGTAGGGCTAATGATTATGGATTCTTATGTCCACATCATATTCAACCAACCGGAAATACTTTCAGTGGGAGAACATCATACATTGGAAGTACGATTAAAGAAGGAAATAAAAAGTGTTGGTTTGCACCAATTATAGAAAGGTACTTCGTTCTAATTCACCTCTTAATTAAATAAAAACTTTCTTAATGATATGGTGTTAATGTTAACTCATGTTGTAGTGGTCATTGGAGGCTTGCTGTTATCTGTCCATCTGACTAGACCATATATTGGTTTTGTTCTCTGCAATGGGAAGTAAGTGAAGATATGAAAGGAGTTCTTGAATCGTAAGTATTGTGTGTAACTTTATTTTGCAAATATATTATCATTATAAATCAATTTCTTACAAGTATTTGATATAAATAGATCTTTGAAGATGCACTCTAAATTGATGAGAAAGAATAGCCGAAGTTTTGTCAATTGGGTTTATGTAAAGGTATGTATTTTAAATTTAAACAATGGTGAGATTAATTATATTGATCACTCTTGTTTTGTGTATATTTGTAGTGCCATAAACAGCTAAGAGATGTGGAATGTGGATATTATGTGATGAGGTATATGTATGAAATCATCTCTGGGGGTATAACCAACTCATTCCACAAGGTAATAATATTATATGAAAATAATAATTCTAGTATAAATATTGAGTTGTTTTTAATATTACTGATGTTACATTTTTTTTTTTT